ACTGATATGTCTGATGCTGAAAATTCAGGAAGTACAACATTGATTCTCTTCAATGTACCAGGTTAAAAACTTTGTTTCCTATTCAATGAATGAAAAAATTAAAAATGTTTGAGTATTTGGGTGTCATTAATTCTAAGAAGAAATCAAACCATAAGAAACTTGCAAAATCAAATTGATCTTCTTAAAACTGATATTTCCATGAAAACAGTGTTATTGAGTCCACTCAGGAAAATCTCAGATTACTAGTTTGTCAAACTCATCTTTGTCTGCTGAAATTGATGATGTTAAAACTCTTTTGATCAAAGAACAAACTGTGCTTCACACTTGGGCAAAATCCCATAAGAATGCTAATTATATCATTTTAGCTCAAATTCCTCATTCTTGTGAGAAAATTCTTGGGGGTAATTTTGTCAGAAGCTGAAAAAGTTTTTAAAACACAAGAAAAGGGATCTGAGGTTTATTCCATGAATGAGATGAGAAATAATTTCAAAATAATTTTGTCAGTAACTCTTTTATTAATCAAAGCTTAATTGATAAATATTGCATTACCAATTCTGATGGTATAACTGAGTGCAATGTTGAAATTACCGGAATTGATCCTACCTCTTATCCTGGACATCTTGTTAGACCAATCCCTCTAACTGAGAAATTATTGCTTTTCCTATCTTCAAATGGAGTGTTTCATGCTGTTCATGAACAACTCAAGCACTGCCCTGATTGCAATCCATCTGTGAATGAGTCAAAATTAGATACTGATAGTGTTACCCTAACACTGATCAAACTTCTCCTGATATTGTATTCAGTCGTGACTCAATAATAAACAAAAGAACTCAAAGCTCTCTTGATGAATCTTACATGTCAAAATGTGTTAAATCAAAATTTACTCATCAAGAAGAACTTTGGTACTAGAGTTTGTTACAGATATGGTAATTCCTCTCACAAGATCAGTGAATGTTCTTTTGATAAATCATCCTCAAGAGCTGAGAATATTAAAATTAGGAATGAAAATGGTCTCTTAAGTCTAACTCTTTAAACTGTCTTCCTAAGGAGTGCTATAACTTATTATCGAATAACTTTGTGAATGACCTATTTTTGAATGGGTCAGTGTGTTCTAACTAGTTTCTCAGTACTGCAGGGTCAAGAGCATCTTTGGTATTTAGATAGTGGTTGCTCAAGGCATATGACGGTATCAAAGTCTCTCCTGGAAGATTATGTTAAGAAAACTGGTCCTGCAGTTACTTATGGAGACAATGGAAAGGGATTCACTAAAGGATATGGAAACATCAAATGCAATAACGTGATTTTTCAAAACGTTTCATACGTAAAGGGTCTCAAACACAACCTCATTTCTATCAGTCAGTTATGTGATGCTGACTATGAAGTTCATTTTACAAAGAAGGAAGAAGAGTTGTAAACACTGACAAGAACATCGTTCTCTCAGCTAGTAGAAAAGATGATATTTATGTTCTTGACATGTTCTCGAGTGACAAGGCACTGATGCAATGTTTCTTTACAAAGTCTCAGACGAATCTTAGTTGGATTTGGCACAAAAGGTTTTCTCATCTGAATTTCAAGAATCTATCCAAGATATCCAATCAAGACCTAGTTAGAGGGCTTCCAAAATTCAGCATTATAAAGGACAAGATGTGCTCAGCTTGTGAACAAGGAAAACAAACCAAGTCCTCTTTTCAAACCCAAGTCGTGCTCTAGTATATCAGTTCCTCTTTATCTACTTCACATGGACCTGTTCGGACCTATTCCTGTTCGTTCTCTAGGTGGAAATAAGTATACTCTGGTGGTTGTTGATGAGTTCACTCGATTTACTTGGGTAACCTTCTTGAAGAAGAAAAATCATGCTACATAAGAGATCATCTCACTAATTCGTAAAAATGAGACACTGACAGGTCTTAAAGTTAAGCAACTAAGAAGTGATCATGGCACTGAGTTCCGCAACTCAACTCTAGAAGAATTTTGTGACATCAAAGGTATTGGGCAAAACTTCTCAGCTCCTCGTACTCCTCAGCAAAATGGTGTTGCTGAACGAAGGAATAGAACACTGATTGAGGCAGGAAGAACCTTAATGATACATGTTGGTCTTCCTATGTCCTTTTGGGCTGAAGCTGTCAATACAGCGTGTTTCACTCAGAATCGATCTTTAATTCACAGGGTTCACAAGAAGACTCCATATGAAATGCTGAAAGGTCGAAAACCAATGTATCCTTTTTTCATGTGTTCGGATGTATTTGTTACATTCTCAATCAGCGTGACCCAAGGTCCAAATTCGAACCTAAGGCTGATAAAGGTATTTTTGTTGGGTACTCTTCTATTTCGAAAGCTTTTCGTGTTTTTCATGTGAATAGGCAATGCATTGAAGAATCCATTCATGTTAAGTTTGATGAGGAATCATACACTGATGAAAAGGTCTCTCATTCTCCTTCTATCTTTCAAGAACTTCTCTCTTGTCCCTTCGATGAAGTATCTTCTACAGAAGATAAGACTGATTCCTCTGATCCTATCATTCCATTTCCATGCTCCTTGACTCAAGATATTGCAGGCACTGACAATTCATTAAGTGCTGATGAAACCTTTGAAGCTGAAGATTCTCCTGAAACTGATAATGTGTCAGCATCTATATCTCCTGAATCAGCATCAGTTATTGAACATCGAGATCATCCTGTTGATCAAATTATAGGGAATATTCATGATGGTGTCCGAACCAGATCTAGTGCACTTAATAAATTTTGCATGTATGTTAACTTTGTTTCAATGATCTTACCCGATAAAATACACGCAGCTCTTCAAGATACTGATTGGATCAAAGCCATGCAAGAAGAACTGAATGAGTTTGAAAGGCACAAAGTTTGGACTCTTGTTCCAAGACCATCCGGGAAAACTATAACTAGAACTCGTTGGGTCTATTGTAACAAGGTTGATAAAGATGGAATCATCACTCGCAACAAGGCAAGGCTTGTACCTCAAGGGTTTACTCAAATTGAATCCATCGACTACGGGGAAACTTTTGCTCCAGTTGCTCGCATTGAAGCTATCAGACTGTTTCTTGCATATGCATCTTACATGAACTTCATTGTCTATCAGATGGATGTGAAAACAACATTTCTACATGGTGTGTTAGAAGAAGAAGTATTCCTAAATCAGCCCCAGGCTTTGTGGACAAAGATCATCCTGATTACGTGTATCGGTTAGACAAAGCGGTCTATGGGCTGAAACAAGCTCCCAGGGCCTGGTATGAGACGCTGACATCATATCTGCTTGAGAATGGATACAGACGAGGAGCAATCGACAATACTCTCTTCATCAAAAACAAAGGATCAGACATGGTTCTTGTTCAAATTTATGTCGACGACATCATTTTCGGCTCTCCAAATGAGACACTAAGCAAGGAATTTGCAGAGATCATGTCTCAAAGGTTCGAAATGAGCATGATGGGGAAGATAACCTTTTTCTTAGGTCTTGAAGTTCAGCAACAAAAGACAGGTATTTCCATTTGTCAAAGTAAATATATATCTGACCTGCTTGTTAAATATTCTCTCAGTGACTGCAAACCAGCCTCTACTCCAGTGTCCAAGACTGATAAGATACACACTGATCCAGCTGGAACTGATGTCAATCACTCTCTGTATCGAGGAATGATTGGATCTCTCCTATATCTCACAGCAAGTCGTCCTGATATTATGTTTGGCACCATTCTCTGTGCTCGATTCCAAGCTAATCCAAAGGAATCTCACCTCATGGCTGTTAAACGTATCTTTCGATACATAAAGGGAACTCAAAACCTTGCTTTATGGTATCCTCGTGACTCAGCACTTGTGACAACACCAGTGCCATTCAGATCACACAAAATCCTGTTCAGCACTCCAAGACAAAGCATATTGAAATCCGACATCATTTCATCAGAGATAATGTTGAAAAAGGAAAAGTTGTTCTTGAACATGTCAAGACTTCGGAGCAACTAGCTGATATCTTCACAAAGGCACTGGATTCTCAATCAACTGCTTATATTATCGGAGAACTGGGAATGATTTCCTTATAATTAAATTTAACATTTAATTGTGCTAATGTTTGCAATTGTCTTATAAGCTGATGTACATTGTGCTGATGATGACGTTCTGATGATATTTGATAGTGAGCACCTTGGTTTGATTTCTTATCTTGATCTCTTCTTCAAATCTTCTAAACAAAAGTTGAATGATTCACTGTATTAAACCATACACTGATAACGACTTGAAACTCTTTGCCGATGGTTAAATCAAAATACCAAGATTTATCACACGCAACTACCCTCTTCTCACCACTCTTACACTGATTCTGTGATTCAGCGTGCCAAAAACACACGCTGATGAGGGTCTAAAATCTTTGCCGATGGTTAGATCAAAATACCAAGATTTATCACACGCAACTACCTCTTCTCACCAATCTTACACTGATTCTATGATTCAGTGTGCCAAAACACACACTGATGAGAGTTTACAGATCTTTGCCGATGGTTAGACCAAAACACCACGGTCTATCACACGCAACAATCCATTCTCTACCCCCTTCTTATTTAGTGTCTAATGATTCAGTAAGATAAACCACTTACTGATGAACTCACAACAATCTGTGCCGATGGTTAGATAATGTAACTAGTATCTATCACACGCACCAATCTGCTTGCTAGCCCAGTTTATGCAAGTTGTACCTTGAATTGATGGAGAATTTCTCAGCACATAACCTTTGTGACTATGAACTCAGCGCTTCCGCAACCTCTGATTGACGCTACACCTTCAGTCAACGGCTCTTTTCTCCAACGGCTATTTTCTATTCTGACAGATTGTTACGCTGCGCCGTTATTTTTCGAAAAGATAATTATTACCTTTTTCGAATAAAACACATAAAAGGAAACCCCTCTTCATTCCATACTTAACTCACTTTACCCCTTGGTGTAATTTTTCCTCCCCAAACCTTTCTCCCAAAACCCTAGATTTCTCAAATACTCTCCAATGGCGGCATCTCTGTTCACCTACTCATCAACATCTCGAAGAGTCACTCCTGCCCCAAACTCTCCTCCACTTCCAATTCACATCAAGGCCACCAATGTAGTATTCAACCCTGACATTCCAGAGGTTCATCGAGGTCTTGGACTCGATGATTTCGTCAATTTCTTGACTTCTTGCCGCCTCCGATACGCAATCAGTGACGTACCATCCGAGTTCTTCCCTGAACAAGTATGTGAGTTTTACTATACTGCAACAGTTAGTGAAGAAAACAATGCCATCACCGGAACAATTGGCCGTGGCAGACACTCCGTCTTTATCACTGCAGAGCTTCTCAGCGCTGCTTTACGATTACCTCTGTTCGAACCTTTTTCTGAACCTCCAACTATTGAAAGATGTAAACGCATGTTTGATCAACTGGGCTATGATCATTCAAAGGCTGGTACTCGATCAGCCCTTATTTTGCGTCAGTGCATGACCGCAGGATGGAAGTTTTTCACTGGTGCCTTGTGCAAGTGTGTGGGTCACAAGTCTCGGAGTGGTGATCAATTGAGTAATTATGAGCAACAAGTCGTCTGCTCTCTTCTTCTCAACAAAAGACTGGATTATGGGGCACTATTCTTTGATCAGCTTGTTCAACTTCTACGTGCAAATGTGCGTGCTGATCATGTTCCCTTTCCTCGCTGGATTGCCTTGGTGTTCGACAAATTCTTCGCTGCTGATTATTTTTCTCACTCTGGGAATCCAATCCAATGCCCTCGCATGTCCGTTCGCATGTATCAGGATGATCCTTTGGATTCAGACATTGGGATCTCAGATAGGATGAGAGAATGGATTGCTCATCCATACACTATGCCTTCTCTTTCAGCTGATACTGATGACGGAGGTGCTGATGGTGATCATGTGGATCATGCTGATCAAGAAGTGGATCATTATGATGGCGGTCATTCCTCTCCTCCACCTTCTCCTCACCTTACCCCTGTCACTGGTCCTGCCTCCTCAGCTCCACAGGATCTCTTGTCTCAAGGGGAGCAACCATCTCAGGGGGATCATCAGTCTCAGGGGGAGCATTCTTCTCAAGGGGAGCAACCATCTCAGGGGGATCCTCAGTCTCAGGGGGAGCATTCTTCTCAAGGGATGCCTCTCTCTCCGGGGGAGCATTCATCCCCAGCAGCTCGCCATTTCTCTCCAAGGATGCAATCCAGCTTTCCAGTTGCTCCAGGAACATCCATGATTCAAATTCCTGCTTCCGCATTCTCTGAACTGATGTCACTGACTCCGGACATGAGTCAGCGTCTGCTTAATATTGAGGCTGATGTTCAGCAAATCAAGGAGGTTCTTTTACTTACTCCTGCTTCCCGTCCCATATCCAATGATGTTCAAAAATGGGGAGATACTGATGATCACGCTGATGATCATGCTGATAGCGATCAAAATGCTCATGCTGATGAAGATCAAAATGAAAAAGACACAGCAACTGGTGACAACAGTATTCTTCAGCATGACTCACTCAACCCCGTTGAAGAAGCTGATCCTACGGGACATGATAGTCCAACAGCTACTGAAAGGTTATCTGATGATAGTGAGCATAATGATGAACACGAATCTGATTCTGCGGGGCATAGTAGTCCAGCAGCCACTGAGAAATTATTTGAAGATAGTGATGATGACGAAGAGCGTGATGAACCTGATGATGAATGTCAAATTTTTGACATGAACTTTATTGATCCTCTCATTCCAGATCAGCAAGAAAGCTTAGATGATCTTGAAGAATCTATTCCGATACTTGCCGATCCTATTGTTGATTCAATCATTCCGGTCCAAGGAGAAGATTCGGACATTGCCAGTGAAGAATCTCATCCGTTGTCTCGAAAGCGGAAAGTAGAAGATACTGACTTGGATCATTCTCAAACTGATACTTCTTCAACTGTGAAGAGACCAAAGTCTATCGTCAGTATTTCAAATCTTGCCACTGAATGGAACATGTCCCCTGATCAAGTTAAGCAAATTCTTGATGAAGCAAATCAAGCTCAGCTTGTAAAGAACATTGCTCAAGCTGATGAATCTCTCATTCAGCACGAACTTCAGGCCAAGGGATCTTTTGAAGCTCAAATGCAAAAGTTTCTTGAATTTCAGTCCAAGGCTCAGTCTTCTCAACCTCCTCCTAGTTCTAGCAAGCCCAAGACTGACAGTGTTCTTGACCGGATTGATCGAAAGAGATTTGAAGATGTTCTCAACCGGCGGATGTGTGGAGATAAGATCATCAAAGTCAAAGCTTCTAAGCCTTGAAACGAGAAAGTTCTTACATTGTTGATCACTCGTCAAGGTCCTCAACACTCTTATATTGAAGTTGTTAAGAGAGATGAGCTGATCAGGTATGGGTATTCGGAATGGATGGAACTGCTTAATCTTGCATCCAAGCAAACCTCAGCTCATTCTTCTGAACTGACTTGTGCTCTTCACTTGCTGATTAAGAAAGTTCAGCGTTTGGATCTTGTTCCTAAGGAACGATCTCAGCATCAAGGTCAAAGGTTGTCAGCTCATAAATCTCGAAGAACCAAGTTTCATGTCGATGACGAAGATGTGTTGGTTCTAGACTTTGGTGCTGGTGCAATTAACAACTCACGTCTTCTGAATGTTGATCCGGTTCAGCATCAATTCATCTCAGCTCCTGAGCACGGAATGTTCTATCTAGATAAAAACAGGAGGATGTGCTTTCAAAGAACCACTGAGATCCCAAAGGCTCCAATCACTCACCTTGTTGGCTTAAGGCAAATGTGCATGAGTCATCAAGATCTATCTGGAGAATTTCACATCCTTATTGCTATGGAGCTGCTGAACAGAAGACAAGAGTTGCTGGACAGTCCTTACTGGCCAGTTAAAATTGAAGCCGAAGCTGAGTATGAAGAATTTCTCTCAAGAGGTGTATTTATTTAGTTTATTTTGAACATCATCATATTGGGGGAGATTGTAAGGTCGAACCTTGAAATATGATTATGTTTAAAATAAACTCAGCGTCAGCACGTGTTTCAGCGTCAGCTCTAACATATTTCAGCTGTGTCTATATTAGCTTAGTTTACTCAATGTATATGTATTTGATGTAACAGATTCAGTATTTATCCTGTTTCCATAGTTATCATGTATAAGTTAGCTGTAATTTCCCTGATTTGTAGGGATTGTCTATAATTGTTCTATATAGTCTTTTGTACGGGTTTGTAAAGAGGGGTCTTTCACAAACCCTAATTGTCGCTTTGTGCACACGATAATCTCTTTGTGAGATTATCTTTCTTAGTGAAAGTTTTCTTTGTGAATTTCTCTTGTTCTTTCTCATTGTCTTTGTTTGATATATCGATTGATCTTAAGGTCTCTTCACAATCCTTGCTCTAGATGCCCACAACCGATTTAGGGTTCTTCTCAGTTGCTAAAAACGGACAATGACGGCCTATAAGTCCGTTATATACGTTCCAAAACCGAACGGCTAGGGTTTCCGCTGAACAGCGCAGACTCGCCGAGTCCATAATGGACTCGTCGAGTCCAGTCGCGAACCCGCGACCAATTCTGTGGTCCTACTCGGCGAGTCTGGCTCCAACTCGCCGAGTCCCCTCTTAAAACACCCCAAAAACATAATATAACAATACCTGAAATTCCGGGCTGTTACAACTCTCCCCCACTAAGACTAGACTTCGCCCTCGAAGTCTCACTCTGCAAATAACTCCGGATGTTGCTCCCGCATCTCACGCTCCGGCTCCCAAGTCATCTCCGATCCTTTCCGGTGTTGCCACTGAACCAACACCAGAGGTACCTCCTTGTTCCTCAGAACCTTGATCTTCCGATCCCTGATGGCTACTGGTCTCTCGGCGTAATTCAGGCTCGCATCCACCTGAATATCCTCTAATGGAACCACTGCCGATTCATCGGCTATACACTTCCTCAACTGCGATACGTGAAAAGTATTGTGGATCTGTCCCAACTCTGCTGGCAACTCCAACCGATAAGCTACCCGGCCTACCCTTGCAATCACACGAAATGGACCTATAAACCGGGGCCCCAACTTGCCCCTCTTCCTGAACCGGATCACTCCTTTCCAAGGAGAAACCTTCAGGAGAACGAAGTCGCCAACCTGAAATTCAAGCTCGGACCGGCGTCTGTCCGCATAACTCTTCTGTCGGCTCTGGGCGGTCAATAACCTCTGTCTAACCTGCTGAATCTGCTCTGTCGTCTGAAGTACGATCTCCGTACTGCCCATCACTCTCTGTCCCACCTCTCCCCAGCAAATGGGGGTCCGACACCTCCTACCATACAACAACTCAAAAGGTGGCATACCAATGCTCGAATGATGGCTGTTGTTGTAGGAAAACTCTGCCAAGGGTAAATGCGCATCCCAGCTACCCCCGAAGTCTAACACACACGCTCGAAGCATGTCCTCCAATGTCTGAATCGTCCGCTCGCTCTGACCGTCTGTCTGGGGATGGTATGCGGTACTAAAATGCAGTTTAGTACCCAGCTCCTCATGGAATTTCTTCCAGAACCTGGAAGTGAAGCGTACATCACGGTCCGAAACAATCGAGATCGGCACTCCATGCCGAGATACTACTTCCCTCACGTATATCTCCGCCAACTTCTCCGCTGATGAACTCTCGCTGATGGCAAGGAAATGTGCACTCTTCGTCAACCTATCCACAATCACCCAAATTGCATCGACTCCCCTGGCAGTTCTCGGCAATTTGGTGATGAAATCCATAGTAATCTGTTCCCACTTCCACTCAGGAATCTCCAAAGGCTGCAACTTGCCATGCGGTCTCTGGTGCTCGGCCTTAACCCTACGGCAGGTCAAACACCTCTCAACGAACCAGGCGACGTCTCTCTTCATACAAGGCCACCAGTATTCCTTCCTCAAGTCCAAATACATCTTTGTAGCACCGGGATGAATCGAGAATTTCGATCTGTGAGCCTCTCCATCAAAGTAGCACGCGTACCGCCCACGAACGGTACCCAAATCCGACCCTGAAACGTCAGAAGTCCTCGTCCATCCTTAACGAACTCTGAGATTAACCCAATGACCCGCTCTTTCTTCTGCATCTCGGATCTCACAGCCTCGGCCTGCGCCCCACGAATAGCATCCAATACCGGAGTCATCACCGTCAGTCTCAGACATACATCTCGCAATGGAGTGCTCTCCGCCCTGCGGCTCAATGCATCGGCTACCACATTAGCCTTGCCCGGGTGGTATAGGATTTCACAGTCATAATCCTTGACCACATCCAACCATCTCCTCTGACGCATATTTAGGTTGGGTTGATCCATCAAATACTTCAAACTCTTATGGTCCGTGTATATCGTACATCGAACCCCATACAGGTAGTGACGCCAAATCTTGAGAGCGAACACTACTGCCCCCAACTCTAGTCATGCGTGGGATATCTCGCCTCGTGAGGCTTTAGCTGCCTCGATGCATAAGCTATCACATGACCTCTCTGCATCAACACTGCACCCAGTCCCGAAATCGATGCGTCGCAATATACGACAAAATCTTCCATCCCTTCCGGGAGAGCTAATACCGGGGCTTCGCACAATCTCTGGCGAAGTGTCTCGAAAGAAGTCTGTTGCTCGGGTCCCCATGAGAATGCAACACCCTTCCGGGTCAGTCTGGTGAGCGGTACTGCGATCTTGGAGAAGTCTCTAATAAACCTCCGATAGTACCCCGCCAACCCAAGGAAACTCCTGATCTCGGAAGGTGACTTCGGTACCTCCCAACTCATCACTGCCTCAACCTTGGCCGGATCGACCAATATCCCTGCCTGATTAACAACATGTCCAAGAAATTGGACCTCCCGCAACCAGAAGTCACATTTGGAGAATTTTGCATATAGCTTCTCCGACCTCAGTACCCCAAGGACCTCCCTCAAATGTCCCTCATGCTGCTCTCTAGATCGCGAATACACCAGGATGTCGTCGATAAATACAATCACAGACCGATCCAGCATCGGCCTGCATACCCTGTTCATGAGGTCCATGAACACTGCCGGGGCATTGGTGAGCCCGAAAGGCATCACCACGAACTCATAATGCCCATATCGCGTCCTAAATGCTGTCTTCTGGACGTCCTCATCCCGCACTCTTACCTGATGGTACCCTGATCTCAGATCGATCTTGGAAAACCAAGATGCCCCTTGCAACTGATCGAATAAATCATCGATCCTCGGTAACGGATAGCGGTTCTTGACCGTCACTTTGTTCAACTCCCGGTAATCAATGCACATCCGGTGTGAACCATCCTTCTTCTTGACGAACAAAATCGGTGCTCCCCCGGCGAGCTGCTCGGCCGAATAAATCCCTTCCCAGCAACTCCTGGAGTTGCGAGGACAACTCTTGCATCTCTGGAGGTGCGAGACGATAAGGCACCTTCGCAATAGGCGGCCCCCGGAATCAGGTCGATACCAAACTCTACTTGCCTCGCAGGAGGTACTCCCGGCAGTTCCTCGGGAAAAACATCTGGAAACTCACGCACCACTGGACCTCTCCACTGACCTTGGTCTCTCGGAAGCCTCCCGCGTATCCATCACATACGCCACAAAACCCTTACATCCCTGCTGTAGACATTGCCTCGCCCTAGCGGCCGAACAAAAAGCTGATCCCGAACGGGTACCCTCGCCGTACACCGTAAGAACTCCCCCACTAGGGTCTCGTATAGTCACCAGCTGCGCTCACAGTCGATGACAGCGCTGAATCGACTCAACCAGTCCATGCCCACGATGACACAGACATCACCCATCGCAATAGGAATTAGGTCAATCGGAAACTCAACCCCGAAAATCTCTAGTACGCACCCCCGAAGAACCTCCGTGGCACAAACCACCTTCTCGGCCGCTATAGAAACGCTCAGAGGCCGACTTAACGGCTCACGACTACTGCTGATATGCTGACTAAAAGCTAAAGATACAAAGGACCTACTCGCACCCGAGTCAAATAACACTAGAGCAGGCATAGAGTTCACAAGAAAAGTACCTACACATATATTAACATAAGCATAACATTTCGACTTTAAATAAATACATGAATTACAGCATACCTGCCACAACATCGGGCGCAGCGCGGACCTCCTCCGCAGTCAGCTGAAAGGCTCTCCCGCGAGCCCTCGGGGCCTCGACCTTCACCGGTCGAGTCTCAG